CCAGACCCGTCGCCATCTTGGAATCATCGGTCGGAACTAGGCCTTTCCTAATGGAAAAGGAAGGACTTCTCAGAGGGCAGAGCAAAAAGCTGTAACAGTTCTTGTTGCCTCTAATCTTGATTGTATGGGTGTCCAGCAGAAGATAGGGCCCTTTGGCGCAGAGCTAAACACACACACCAGGCTCTTAGACAAGGCTTTGAGATGTGTAATGCCTTTTTGTTTACTCCTGTGATGCCTCTTTTGCAGAAGAGTAGAGCTGAGGAAGGATGCAGGAGTCATGAAACACCAGGCCTTCCTTGCAACTTTCTCACAGACCAAGTCAGGTGGTCTGCTCCATGTCCAACCACCTGAAGATCCAGCCTGAGGTAAGGATGAAGTGGTGCCTTTCTGCAAAAAAAGTCTACAACTATATTTTAAACAACAAAAATGAAGTGAAATCCTTTTTTGTTTGCTTGTTTGTTGAATGATTTATTGTTCTTTTAATCAATATATATGCATACAAAAATTACTAAAAATGAACTGTCAATAGTAGATATGTTTGATATTCTTTTTCTTTGCCTTTTTGTTTTCCAAATAATATCAAGTGAATACATATTACTTTAAAATAAAATGCCATTCATTTTAAATGACCTTGTGTGGGAGACAGAGCTAATTGCATACCCAATGTCCATTCTCCTCTTCTTCCTAGTTACACTCACTAAAACACTGCATTTCCTAGTCTCTCTTACAAATGAGGGTGGCCACATGATACGGTTCTAACCAATGATATGTAAAGGGAAATTGCTGGCTGCAGCATCTTGGAAAGCTCTTTGAAGGGAAGTAGACCTGATTGGCTTTCACCTTTGCCCTTTCCCCTTCACCTGCTTCTTTCTTTGAATGAGAATGTAAAGCAGGTGAGAAGGTGAAACAGCCGTCTTACGAGAAAGGGGAAAAATGCCACTCACAAAAGTATGGCAGAGTGGAAAGTCAGGAGGAGCCTGGATTCCTGAAGGCATTACAGAGCCACTGCACCAACCCTGGACTTCAAACCTCTAGTACTTCCTGTTATATGAGGAAAAACAAAAAACAAAACAAAACAAAAAAACTTACATGCTTAAAC